GGGGGGGGGGGGGACAGGCTGTGGTTATCTCCTATCGCAGCGTACATATCCTGTTCAAAGGCAAATTCACGTCATTGAGATTTACCGGTTTGAGCCGGATTAAACCGATTGGTTTGGATCCACACTGAATTGCCCTTCTCCGTAATTTTCAAGTCCGTCCGAACCCATTTTCGTCTTTTCGTTTAAACTAATTTAATTAACCCCCAACCACTTTGGATTTATCACATAATAGCCCGACAAAGTTTTGAATTTTAACTACCCACCCACCGCACCTCAGGTTGTTTAGTTTTGGCAATTTCGGCATTGATTCCTTCCACGTGTTTATAATAAAGTCCCCAAAATAACAGTTGTAGAGAGTTCGAGATGATTTATTTATTGAGTTATGAAACTTGGGTTTATATATATTTAAAAATAGTTAAGAAAAAATAAAAATTAGAATTTACAGAATGAAGAGAGTTGAAAATTAGTTGAATAAAAAATTGAATTTTAATTTGGTAACATATTTTAATTGCTTTTGGTGTACATACATACGATTATAATATATGATATAAATTCCAAACGTGTAACATATTTCAACACTTCCGTTCGTCCAGCATTATAACGATACACACAAAGCTATCATCCCGAGTCAGACGGTTGGGATCAATTTGATGAGACATATATATATATATATATACATACACATATATGTGAATATATATAGCCGAGGAAGAATGGGCGCGAAGAAGAACATGCTCTGTTGAACAAAGACGAAAATGGAGGAAACGAGGAAGAGAGAAGACGACAACGGAAAGGCCACCGCGGCGGAGGATGACATGATGACGTGGATGATCGGCGGCGAGGGCGAGGAGTTCATCGCGGAGGATTTGATGAAGCTTCTGGAGGACGACGGCGGTGGCGGCGGCGGAGGAGATCCGTCGCGGGATTGCCCGTTGAGGTTCATCGAGGATCCGTACGCGACGTCGGTGATTTTCCAGTCGGCGACTTCGCCGGGATACATCACCATAAACGGAAACGAGGAGAGCTGCGGATCTTCGTTCTCCGACTCCGACGCGTCGGTAATGGCGAGCGTCGACGCGCGTGGCCTGATCGGAGCGTGGGGTTCACATGAAGTGGAAGCGCGTGGTGGTAGCAGCCGTACGAACGCATTTGATGATGACGACGATGATTCACTTGTTAGGTTCATAGGCGAAGAAGACGAAGACGACTGTGTTTGACCCAACTGGCTCAGTCTCAGTCCAGTTCAAATTTCTAGGTGAAAGGGGGTTGGACCTTTTTGTCATTTCGCGCAGCGAGACAAATTTGCTTTCGAAACTATTTGGGCATTTTCGTCATTTGTTAATCATGAGGTCCGAAGAAAAAACGTGGGTTGCAATTACGAAGGGCTAATTAGGGAAGGTTAGGGTTACGTTACAACACTGTTAATTAGAAACTAGCTAGTCGTAGCTATATAGTCCCTTTTGGTACTCTTTCGTAAATTTTCACGGTTCAAGCGAATATTTCAATATATTATATAGTTAATGGCACATCAATCGTATAGACGGTCGCTTATATAGATAGTAGGGTTGGAATTTATGAATGAAAACCATGCAATATATTTACGTTTCGAGGAATTGGGCTTTTAAAATATTGGGCAGCATAAATATGGGCCTAGTGAAAAGCCCAAACGCCGTCATGAAACCGTAGTAGACTGTGGCGGGAAAGTCCGCCACATCAGAAGAAGGACTTCTCCTCGCCGTCTACTATGCGAATCGATGTCATCTCCGCCGGCGATCTCCGATTTATTGGCCGTGTTAGCTTCCCGGATCCAACATATCAGCCCGGAAAATCACGATGAAGACGATATGGAAGCATCGTCGTCTCTGGAGCTCTCGATTTCTGAGCTGAACATCGCTCTGAGCCTTAGCGACGATTCTAGGGTTATGGTTTTGGATGCGGCACTGTCTCTAATGTGCTTCAAGGCGCCTCAGGCCAGTCTTCTTAGATTAAGGTTTAGATTTTGATTGGTTCTTGGTTTTCAGGCTTCTTATTGGCGTCATTTTCTGAAATTCTAGGTTTTTGATTCAACGATTGAGTATCTGGTGAAGTCAGTTGTTAGTGCTTTATCATCTTCAGTCGCTTGTAAGGTACTTCGGCATCAGAATGAGGAAACTTTACAGATTGGAAGCTCGATATTATCTCGTAGCTCGGAGGAATTTGTCCTACTGTTTAAGGATATTATTGATAAATTGAGGGGAAATGGTGGGTTTTGACTTACCTTTTCGTGGGGTCATCCTCAGCTTTCCTTTTTCGAGTCTCTATGATTTCGTTCAATTCGTGTTTTGTGATCATTTCTGAAAGATGCTTTGGTGTGGCAGGAAGACTGAGTCCAATGTTGTTCCAAGCCCTTGTAAGGTCAGCAGCTTCAACATCTTCCTACCAACATTTGCTTCCGTTCAGACTTATCGCACATCCAAAATTAGAGGAGGGAAGAAATAAAGCTGTCTTGAAACTCGGTCACTTGCCAGGACAATCTTCTATAGAGAGCCATGATATTTCACTGAGGTTTGCCTACGACAACATATTCTTTTGTTTGACGTAATCTTTTTTTCCTCTCATTTTTTCATAAAGTTTGACCGTTTTAGCATTGTTTTGTATGCCAGGAGCCTATTCTGGTATCTGGATCCATTGTGTTTGAAGGAGGATGTTTCGCGAATTCTGCAAGATGTGATGGAGAGGCCTTTCCTTTGTCTGAATAAGGAGCTCTTCGAAAAGGCAGATTGGCATGACGTGGTCACGTGCCTAGTGCTTTCTCCTTCAATGTTTATCAAAACCAGATCCCTCTTACACAAGTGGTTCCTGCTTACGTGAGTTTTCAACTGAATCACATGGAAGTCTACTGCACCATGTATATCTTCCCCTCGTTTAATATGATCAGGAATAAAAACCATATTACTCTCCCGTTTCATGTTTAATCCTTACCTGTGTAAATGATTCCATTTTCATCTTTTAATGCCAGGGGACTTGCTTGTATTGTTGATTTCCTTGCCAGTTTGGTCACTGCAATTATGGACACAATTTCAAGACCTTCACGGTGGGGTATACCAGAGGAACTGGGTTCCAAGTTGCCTTTCTCTGATGCATATTTCCTTTGCAGGCACCAGCTTCTGAGAATTTTGACCGGCCCTTTGACTTCCGAAGCTCTTGTCAGCTTAGCTTGTGTTGTCAGTGAACCAGTTGATATTGCTAGGCAACCACAGTCTGAATCCAATAGCAAGACAACCCCGGTAAATATGCAGTCAATAGATGACAGATCTCAATGGTAATTTTTTTTCCTGAAAATCTGAAAGGTTGCTTTACATGGACTGCAGATCGGTTCCCAAATGTTTGAGTTTGAGATTTGTACATGACATTTGCATGATACTGCATTTTGGCAGGGCTTTGGCTATTAACTTCCCAGACTGGTTTTATTTTGCTTCCGCCATACTCTTCTCCGAAGAAGGTTACCATGGGAAATACACTTCAGGGACGGCTTACAGTAGACAAGCATGTTCTGTTGAAGGTATTTACTCTGCTGCAGCAAGATACATTGCTTGGGTTCTGAATCCTACAAGTGAAATCAATCAAGATTCACTGACCAACTCTTTGATAAGAGTTGGTCAGTTGTGGACCAGCAAAAAATACAGCTCCAAGGCACATCTTAGGGTTACTACTTTTGGAAAGAGGAAGAAATCAGGAAAGAATGTTCTTAACAAAGCCGAAGATCCCAGCGTTCTGGAACTCTTTCTTGAAGAATTTCACAACAGAATCTTCCATTCAGTTTTTGAATGTTCAAAAGCAAGCGCTTCTGTTAGCCCTGGCCTTCAGAACAGATTGTTAACTAGAAGAGTCGTGATTGGGATATTGGTTGGCTCTTCATATTCTGTAACAGATGATGGTTGTGAACTGCTCCTGCATTATGTTGCAACTGGGAAAATTCTTGCCTTGAATAAAATTCAGAGTACCGGATACAAACAAACAAAAGGGAGCTCTAAAACTTCAGCGAAGTTGTCAGATGAGTTTACAAAGCTGGAGGCCCTTGAAGGCGCCCGTCTTGTTTTCAACTTAACCGACACCATGGAGAGTATGTCTGCATCAATTTCTGAAACTGAAGAAAAGGCACTGGAGTTTATTGACCAGGTTAGACAAAGATCCAGTAAGTACTTGGTCAAATGCATCGACCGGCTGATTCAACTTCACAGTAAAGAAGAAGGAAACTCAGTGCTAAATGACTTAAACATTAGACTGATACACTGGAGAAGCCTAGGGCGAGAAGAACCACAGGTCAACAAAGATTTGGAAAATGTTACTGCGAAATTGACTTGCAAATTGTCTTCACATAATCACAGTGACTAAGGCTGTAAATGCCACCTTCAGCCTGACTCGTACCATTTCTGTTTCATTTTGGGCAAAGCGGTAACCAAGAAAAGGATTCAAATTGAGGAGCTATTTGAGCAGATCACAACGAAGATACAGAAGACAGTAAATAGGAAAGTGTTATTCAGAAGCAGGTAACTGAAATCCATTGCCTTCTATATATTTATTTTGTAAAATGTTCTGTGTATTGGTATATTGAGATATTTATAAGTTTAGAATATTTAGATATATTTATATTATGGCATATTAACATATTTGTATCGTTTCTCATTCTATATACATGCATTCCTTTGTAACACAAATTTCATATTAATAAAAGTAATCTTTATTCTCTTATACTGTGTACATTTGCAGTGCATTATTAGACAGAATACAAATGCTATTCATTCATATTAGCCAATCATCTCCGGTATTTGTAAGTTGTCTTCTTGTACCAACTGCACAAATTCACAATTTCCAGCTTTTGCCCCATCTTAAAAGCAGAGCCAGAAACAAGGAAACAGCTTCTGTCATGGAAAAGCCAAGCCAGAAGCTTCATGCGTTTGTTCTTCTCACTAGAGTGATCCCATAAGGGTCACCTCCCCACTCCTCAAGCACCACCAGGCGGTTCCCAGATGGCTCCAGCCACGAACGAGGCACATGGTACCTGATAAAAGAAATCCAGAAGTTTCTCAGTCCAACTGAATTAGATTTCGACCAACAGAAAGTAGGAAGGGGGCCAAAGCAGAGGTACGGATTTCTCCTACCATCTTTGAGAAGCTTCTCCACAGTTACTCAGACATTTCTTCTCAGTGAAAGTTCCAGTATAGCTGCAACGGCCGCAGTTCCCACGAGCTGTGTACCCAGGCCAATGGCGTCCAATGTTTCGGCCATTTATCCAAATTTGGCCTTTCCCCATAGTGTTCATGTCCAGAGCCAATGGTTCATTGCCTGCTGGTGTGTTGAAAGTAGCCTGCGACAAGATGGAGATATTCGCACCAGCTTTCAGTTTTTGTTATATTGATCTGTGTCTTTTGGCAGACATGATTTATTCTTCTGTCTCTCTTACCTTGTACCAGGTCAAAGGTTGCTTTTTCGCCACTAGCGACCCTGCTACCCATTTCAGGGAGGAATCTCCCGTGACAGTATGAAGACTCAGAGCTTCTCCTTTCAGACCAATCTGTTCAAATCATGTGAAGACATGTTTGTTTAATCTGCTGTCATGATGATCGGTTAAAACCCAATGATAGATAAGATGAATTTTAGTAACCTAAGAAGTCAGAACCTTATAGGACCATTTCCATTTGGACATGTCCCATGTTCCGGAATTCATTCCCTTCAAGGAGACCGGACCAAGAACCCCAACATTCCATGTCTCAAAATGCACCCCGACGTTCTGCGAGTAAGGAAGAGCTTCAAAAGCTTAGAACATTATCATTTTCTGGGAGCATAAACATGGAATAGACATCTGTTGATGTATTGAGAAAACTCACCGCGAGACCCACTGCGACGCTCAACAGAGCAAGCTTATTCACTCCTGCATATAACTTGATCTTCTGGCTAAAGGTTAGTTTCGGGTTGTCTAAGCTTCCATATACAGTCCCTGAATCAGAGAAATATAGGCTTTCAACACACGACACGAGCAACTCAGCTTCAAGGCTTCTTATTGCATATCTGATTACACCTACCTGCTAGTTGTCCATTGACAAAGACATGGAGTGCATGGCCAGCGGACCAAATGGTCAGAAGAGGGTTGTCACCGGTCTTCAAGAACTTCTCATCATGACCGATTGTGATGCTGGAGATTCATGAACAGAGAAGAATAGATCAGTAAGTTCACTGGGCAATTACTCGTTACGGATGCATTATCAAGATTCTGAGGTTTTCATACAGTCAAAAAGTTCAAAAAACCTCACTTACTCTGTGAAGTACCAGAGATAGTCAGTCTTGTCTCTGGTCATGCTTATCTGTTCCACGAGCCCATTCAGTGTAAAAGTACCGTCATCATTCCCAGAAAGGGTTTCCTCGTTGTATGATTCCCATGAGAAATGGACACCAGTTGGGATCATATTCATGTGTACACCCTTGGCATAAACCTGTATCCATCACATTACCAGATCAAGATCATCAATATGCAATTCTCAGCCCGAGATTTACGAGGGTATGCTTTACTGTATTTACCTTGGCAGTGTTGTGATACACCGTTTTGCAATCAGGTAGAATGCTGACAGACCATGGAGGCAAATCATACGGAAGTCCCCAGAACGTGACTCTCACCGCAGAATCCGGGTCGTAATTCGAGAGAAAGGCAGCACATGAGGACTTGGACTTGAACACATGAGCCTGAAACAACACACGAAAATCAGACGGCCCTTCAAGTCCGTACGTATATGAGGTATGATGCACTCTCTCTGTGATACATATTCAGGGGATGTTTCAGGGTATAACAATGAAGACTCATCCTTACTTCTTGCTTGGCTCCGAGCCATGTGACGGTGGGATCAACGGAAACCAAAGCCGGCTCACATAACTTGATGACCTTATGCAACTCTCTCAAATGGCTCCATTTCGGTTCTCTTGGTAAACCTTTTGAGATTTTTTTCACCAAATAAAAAGTTCGGTAATCATTCATACATTTGCGGTAATTTTTGTTGGTATTTACAGGAGGTTTAGAAGCTTTTTACCATATTCATCAAGAGGAGCATCGTAGTCATAGCTCGTTGCGACGAATTCACCGGCTGTCCTGTCAAAGTTCGTCCCTCCATGGTACTGAATTTATCACGTGAAAAAATGTTTGGCCAATTTTAACTGTTTGATCTTTTTTTTTTTAAAATTCTTTTACAAAATGACAGAAGCTGTGATTATGAGTGTCCTTTTTACCATGTAGTAATTGACGAAGGAGCCGCCGTTTTGTATGAAGCGTGCCACAGAGAATGCAATGTCTTCTACTGGTCTGTACGGAACCGCAGCGCCAAACTCCGTGAACCTGAGAGGGATTTCAGACCGACAAACGCACAGGTAAATAAAAATATTTCTTTTTTAAAAGCTAACATATGTGCGTGACTTACCAACCAGTCCAGTTCTCTGTCCACATCTTGGGCTTGTTGTCTGAATTCGGCTTGAAATTCTCGCAGTAGAAACCGTTGCATGTGTCTATCTTTCATAGTTTAAACATAACATCATTAGATTTTTTTTATCAATGTTCATGTCTTCCCCAGGTTGGGCAAGAAGCTCTGAAGGGGCGAATTTTCGGATTCATCATACGGGTTTCCTCTTTGGATGCGTGGTAAGTTTCTCAAGACCTTTTGAAAGTTGATGAATTGTGTAATTGTTGATTTTAGATTAAGACAGGGGCCAAGGTCTCATAAAGGCAATGGCTACCTTCTGCAGCATCTTTTGGCATATTTTTCTTGCAGAGGTGGTTCCGTGGTGCAGCAGCAGCTCATTGGCCTGATGAATCAGAGGAGGCTGGCTTCTCAAGAAGCATGGTCTTGGACCGACTTTCATGCCCCATGTGATGTGGCTTGGAGCATCTCACATTTATATAACCTAATGTGACAATGCATGATTGCATTATAATCCATGATACAAGGACATTGCATATATATATATATATATATATATATATATATATATCTTTGTTAGTGTTCAACTCCCTAGAAGAAGACGATATCTGACAAATGTCCCCAAGAATGTATGTGTATATATATATAGGGGGTAACCCACCAACCAAAGGAGAAATCAGAATCTTTTGGACATGTAAAACTCACAAAATGACAAGATAATTAAACTCCTCCTTTTGACAAATTGTTATTAATAATATAAAAATGCGTGTGTGTGTATATATATATATATATGATTTCAGGGAAATAGGAAAGGAGAGGGAGAGAGAGGGAGAGGTACAATAGGGCCAGGGGCATCTTCTTGCTTGCACATAATCCAGGGGACACCAGTGGAGAGTCCCACGGCCATTTCAGCTGCCCATTTTGTGTATGCTTTGCCTGGTGCTCCTATCTCCCATTCCACTGGTCCATACTCATTCTCTATCTGCCCAACACATAAAATCATAGACATCTATAAATAATAACAATAATAATTGGCTAATGATATGATTCTGACAAACAATTCAGGTTTGTTTTTTGTAACTGTATATCTTATAACCTGCGAGAGAATGATGGGCCCTCCTTGTGTCTCAAACAGCTTCTCTGCTTTCATCATTCCCACAATCTTCTGAGTGAATTTTTGCATGGCGGCCTTCATCATCACCATCATCATCATCATCATCATCATCATTCCCCCCCACACAAATTGATTAATCACTCATTTACCACAAAAACACAGAGGAAAGTGGGTGACCTTGAAGGGTCCATTATTAGTCCTGAAGGCAATTCCAGGCACATATTTGAGCCAAACGGGGAACCCCCTGCACCGTCATCACATATCAATACATCATTCTCCAAATTTAGTTAGTTTTTTTTTAATTTATTTATTAAATTTTGAAAACCGAAGGTTTCTTTTAAGGTTTTTACCCAAAATTCCACTCAGCGCAGACATAAGGGCCGATCCTGAGATGAACATAGAGACCGGCTTTTTGCACCACCCTTATGAACCTCACCAGATCATACCTGTCCTCGAAATAATACTTTGAAAAATACACACAGAACACAGTTCACGACGTCATGAGAATTAGATACAAGAATTATTTGTGAGTATATATATCGAGAAAAATAAAATTAAAAGGTTTTGAATTTACGTTTCCGGGAGAAGGCTCATGTCCGTTCCAAAAGACATAAGTCTGTATCACGTCCAAGCCTCCATCTTTCGCCTTTTGTATAAGGTCGGACCACATCTACACAGACAGAACAGAAGCATGGAGTAACCCACGTGAGGGGAAAAGCTTGGAGTGAACCCACATTCCATGAAATCAGTGGGCGGTCATCGAGAAAACAGATAAATATTTTCAGGGAAAAAACAGAGAAAAAACCCTATCTGCCACCGAATTCAAGGAGAAATGGTCAGAGAAACCAGAACAAACACACTTGGATTCTGCAAAAGCGCGGTATAAAAGCTTGGAGGAAATGAAAATTAACCTCAGGAGTGCTTCTTGGGTAGTGAATGGACCCAGAAAGAAGGATCCTTCGCTGCCCATTGATGATCACAGCCTTGTGATCGTATGACACTGCGCCTTTTACCGAAGAAATCGACGAACAACAAAGAATCACCAGAAGTATCCATCCTTTATCTCTCAGTCTCGAACCCATGTGTGTGTTTTTCCTCCCTTTTTGGAAAAATGAAACCTTTTGGAGAAATGAGGGAATTCGGGGAAGAAGATTCTTCTTTAAAAAAAAACTCTGTGAAGGAGCTTTTCTGGGTCTGAAGCAATGAGGCTCCTGAAACTATATATATATATACATATAGGCGGACACGTATGTCTATGTATGTATATCTAACATCTATGTTTCTATGTATGAAGATTCGCAAGTTTTTCTATATATACTTGGAACGGAAAAAGAAGCAAAACGTGGGACCCATCTCTTTTCTTTGGGCGGCTGATTTGTTTCTACGTATGAGTCGTGTGATTTTACGTTTTTCATCTTTGCTTTTGCTCTCTCTCTCTCTCTCTCTCTCTCTATATATATATATATATAAGCAAATGGGGATTATTTTTTAAAATTAACGATAAATATCACAAACTAATAAAATTTTGTATCGTAATTATTTAAACTAAAAGTAATTAATTCTTACACGATTTACCTCATTTCAGACAATGAATATTGAATTGGATTCTCATATGGAAGATGCATTTCAATACTAAGATCGATCATGTATTTTATTTCGCAGTTGTTCTGTTTTTTTTTTATAATTTAGAAGTTTATCGTACCTTTAATCCTAATACATTTTGTAGAGGACCGATAAAATTGAGATAAATACTTTTTCGTAAATGGAAACTCGAATTTAGGTTTGAAAATAGTTTTGAGATAATAACGTGTGAAGTTTATTTTTGTTTATTTGTCAGGTCGATTCCTATGCATGTTTTTTAATTTTTCTTAACATGTCTTTTGAATGGAAGATAAGCCTATTTAAAATATCCATTTCTAACTGTCATCAATTTGGAGATTATTACAGTTAATTACATTCGTAACTTTTGTTTAGATTTTGTTTTGATTAATATAAGTGAATTATAATATATATTCCATATAATTTTTTTTAAAATTTCCAAAATGATATTCTTTACATGGCAGGTAATCTTGGACTACTAAACTTTGCGATCATAATATTTAATAGTAGATTATTACATTATATCTAACAGGATTTTGTGTTGATATTGATTAATGTTACAATTGAAAATTTTCATATTCAAATATGGCAGTTAACACCACAACTAATAATACGAATATAAATGTAAACAGTAACTGTAAGATCAGATAAGGGTTTAGTTCACAATCGTGGTTCGTTAAGAACGTCAAGTTGCCGCATCCGTGACGCAACTTCTTCGACGCTTAAGCTTTACCAATTGAGCCTTCTATTAACCAATCGTGGATGGACACGTGGCTTTTATGTATATTGTTACTGCATATTATATGATTTTTTGTTATATATGCCGCATGCATTAAAAAAAATAGCACATTAAACATTATATTCTGGGGAAAAGAGGAAAACGAAAAAAAAAAAGATGATCATTCTTAGTTGTTAACAAGTTATGGCTTGAACTTAAGCTATATCTTACTTACAACTAAAACAAAAGAATAATAACATATTAAGCCAAGCATCTATGATTTTCCTTACCAATAAGATTTAATAATATTAATAACAATCATATGCCTATTGTTTGTTGTTTTCTGATAATTGAGATGACGGTCAAAATAAACTCTTAGAAAATCATGGTCAATTTAAAATGATTTCCGATATTTATTTTTAATTTTGTGTGAATCATAAATTTCGAAATGGAAATATATTGGAGCGGATAACCTATGCTAACAAAGAATGCAATCCTCTATTTTCTTTTTTACATATACATGTATATATAGAGAAACATAGATTAATAATAAAAGAGGATAACATCGAACTTGTCTAGTTTTATCAGAATTTCCAACACTTAGATTCAATGCTTATGCTTGCTCGATTTATCAAAATATTTTGAATAATTTAATGTACAACTGAAAAGTTATTCTATCATACATATACACGTGTATATATACATATATATATATATATATTGAGTTGTTATACAAAAAAATTCTAATATTCATAGATCCAAACATATTATTAACTCAGAATTTCATGGATGGGGAAATAAAAAAACGTGTATCCAACAATAGTTTAGTGGTTGAGAGATGACAAAATCATTTTCAAGGTCCTTGGTTCGATTCCACTTGTGGAAAGATATGTAATTTCTAAATCAAAATGGTCCTTATACAAAGATTAGTCCCGAATTTCAGTCGATGTAGTCGGACTGAAAGCTCGGGAACCATCCTGGTTATATAAATATTAACTTTATGTTCTCTAAAATAAATGTTGTGGACGAGAAAAACAATAGCAAGTTTTTTAGTTTATGCCAAATTTAGAATCAGTTGTGGTTTCTACACAAATAATTAAAGATATATATATATAGACACACATATATAACCTGTGAGAAGATAAATATTATATGTAAAAAACACATAAAAAAACCTTTTTTAGTTGTTTTTTTTTTAAAATTTTATGCATTGTACAAATTAAATTTTATGGGGATTTTTGAAAAAAAAAATGAGAAACTGTGTTTGTATTTGCTATTTTTATTTTTATATTTTGGACATATATATATATACACATATATCATGGGATGTTTTAAGACGGCACGTTTTATCCAATCTATTTCAGGCAAGAGCCAAGGAAGAAATGATATTTTGACAAAAAAAAAAAGGAAGACATAATAAATGTTCGAAAGAGGATAAAGATAAAACTTTTATCCAAATGTATAATCCACGTCAGCTACGATGGGAACCACCGAGGTGGTGCTGTTCCAGACAAAGCCCAACTCGTGTAAGCCACCTTCCGTCTCTTTTTCGTTAAAGGATCGTAAAAACCCGAAACCCGTGTAAGCCTTTCGGTTCATTTTCTTCTTCAAAAAACGCATAATTGCCTCTTCATTAAGGAGATTAACACGCCACGTCATCCTTTACAGTGGGTCCCACTGATAAATCACGGAAGAACCATATGAATCTCTCTGTCTGAATCTCTGCTCGAATTTAGCAGAATCAAATCGAATTTTGTCCTGTGACTATTATTAGCATATCTGCAATAATGGTGTATTCTTCACATGTACTGTATTGTATCCATTTTGTATACGTATCATAGTTATTATATATATATATATACGTATATAATCTATTCAGAAACATCGAATTACACATACGATTAATTATGGTATAAGAAGTTCGGTATTATAACATAAGAATTTATCATAATACTATATGTAGATATACATTCCATGTTATTCAAAATTTGATTGAGTGAGCTATTCAAAATTTAATTATATATATGTATATATCTGTATATATATGTATGTATATGTATGTATATATATATATTTATTTGTATGTGTTTGTATATATGTGTATGTAAATATATATCTATATATATATTAGTATATATATATATAGATGTGTATAAATATGTATATATGTTCAGGGACTTACCTAGAAAAAATTATCATTGGAGAGTATAAAATTTACTATGATTTAAGAGATAAGACAAAAATTTTTATGGAGGTATTTAATAATTTTTATTTAAAATTTATAATGAAATTAATTTTTTTTAATGAAAAGAATGGAGGTTTATGCCCCACAACTAACGAATTGGGTCCGCCATATATATATATATATATATCTATTTCAACCCCATATATTTTAATTGAGCCATGATGCTATTGTATAACAAGACATATGAACAAACGTTTACCATAGACGACCCAAAGAGTCAAATTTTCAAATGTTACTTCGATACAATGAGTCATATGGCTTTGAAAATTCAATTTTTTTTAGGCAGTCATAATCAACGGACCAAATACTTATCATTATTATGCTTAAGCACCGGAATATGACAACACGCGTGAGATATACATAAACCTAGCTCGAAAATATATAAGATATAATAATAGTTGCGTCACTAATTCAACCACCATTATATATTATAATCCGTATTTTAATTCGCCCTTCCACATCACATTTTTTTTATACAGTTTTAGGGCATGTATAATTTTATATGATACATTTAATGATCTACCTTATGTTCTAAAACAAATACCAAAGCCCACTTCGTCAAAGTCAACCAAACAGGTGCAGTATGAATCATTTATAATATATATATATATATATATATATACACATTATTGAAAGATTCCATCTAATTAGTTTTGAATAAGAGGATTCAATTAATGTGTGCCAAAAGATATGGAAGATTTCATTCATATATATCGTTGGCTGCTAAACTATGTGAAGCATATTGGTTTTATATATGCATTATATTATATGAAATTAGAAAATTAAAAAATGAAAGTAATTAAAATGTCGCCGTCCACAAATTGAAAAAAGGGTTGAAATGTTCCACTTGCATGTTGCATGGGGTCTCTTTCCGGCAGTTCGCCTGTTCACTTTCCTTTGCCATATCCATTATAAAACTAACTGAAAACGATTTATTGGATAATCAATTGACCCAACGATTGTGTAGCATTAAATCAAATTAAAATATCCGAATAATTAGATAATGACGTGATAGACTAATTAACGAAACCCATTATCCATCATAGTTATTGAGGTTTTGCCATGTAAGTTTCAACTAATGGGGTTCTGTCATAATAAAATATTCATCATTAACCATCTTGAAATAAAATCGATCGTTATAATAGTGGAAGTTTGTTATAGTATATACATCAATATATATATACATGACCAGTAGCGGACCTAGGGAAAGTTATAGAAGGTGGCAAATTTAATTTTGTATATGACAAACATCATTTTATAATGGAAGCATTTATAAAATTTAATCAAAATAATATAAAATTTATGAAGAAATTTAATTTTTCTAAGGAAACAAATGGGGACATATGCCTCCATTCATATTAACGTGGATCCGTCCATATTTACCACACGATGATTTGACGTAATATGATGATTTGACATAATATGATTATTTATGGCATGTCAGAACAGTATTAAAATTGACTAAATTTAATATTGTTTATGAATACCAGAGAAATTGTAAAACATTTTAATATTTTGTGTGAGATTTTTGGAAATGACGATGTAATTTTTTGTCTAATTAAAAATTGGTGTAGAAAATCGGAATATTAACGAAAATTGGTGGGGAATATGAGATTTTATCTAAAATAAAATGTTACTTCACATTATATATAACATAAATGTATATGTTATCATTTAATCATTAA